ACTGACGATTTTTGTGGCCAAATGACGATTTTTCTTTATGTGCAGCTTTGGCTGGTTCTCAACTTTGAATATACTGAAAGAAAACTAAAAATTCGTAAAAAAGTTAAGCTTTTAATTTTTTACGTATAGCAATAAGAAGCTAGAATAAAAAGAATAAAAAGAGAGAGCTTCATTATTTCTGTTTACTTAACTTTTTTATATGCTGACGATTTTTACATGCAAATTACGATTTTTTATAACCAAATTGACGATTTCTCCCTTCAATGACCTGGCAACACTGGTTCTGAGTAGCGTTTCAATAGTTCTAGTGTTCCTGAGAAAGAAAAAGAAAGATCTGCAAAATGACACCGAAAGCACTTTTTTTTTTAAGTCGTAAAAGTTATATTTTTGAAAAAAAAAAATAATAATAAAAAACTTATAACTGTTCTGAGTAGCTTCTCAAAAGTTCTTGAGTTATTCTCCAAAGTTCTGGAGTATATATATTTTTTTTTGTAATTTAAGGAATCAATATATGTAAATAATAGATAAAGATTAAGATTTAGATTAAGGTAAGGATTAAGATTTAGATTTAGACTCAGATTGAGATCTAGATTAACATTGAGTATAAGATGAAGATACTTTTTCATTACTATGCAGAAAAATACTCGTAAAATAACATGTTGAGCTACACGGGTAAGAGGAAGAAGAAATCTCACTTCAGTCGCGCCATTTCTCCAGTTGTACTCGTGCATATAAGATCATATTTACCATATGTAAATATATTGTGTACCCATATGTAAATAAATATGTATCTGCATCTGGTAGGCAATGGAAGTGCGTATGCATTATACTTGAATTATTGAAATCGCTATTTCACCACCAGTGAATTTCAACTCTTAATTTTGTATGTTTTTTTCTCTATTTCATCACTGTATAAAAGCTTGACGGTTTTGGGTTTTTTATTCGTATTTTTCACAGTGTTTATATGAGTTGTAAAAAGTTTTATTGTACATTTCAACGCACTTGAAGGATTTATAGTCTGGCGGAGTAAATGGCCGGAAATGCAATTTTTAAGGGATTTGCAGCTTTATGCAATTTGTATTTTTATTTCGTTGACTTTAAAAATGCACGTACTTGCATATGTGCATACACCAGTTGAAGCTACGAATTTTCATTCGTATTAATAAAATATGCAAAAAGTGAAGACTTATGATTTCATGATGCAAATACACTTCTCGATGTGAAGAGATAACTTTAGACTTTGCAAAGTAAATGTCCTTATATGCAATTAATAAATAGTTAAATAAAGAATTCCTCACTTAGCCCATTAGCTATATTTTCGTGTATGTTATCTTTGTAATATCGATATTTCTATAATTATTGCAATTGTTGTCGAAAGTTCCTCTTAAGGATATTAAATCGTATGTGTTGTTCTGCTTTAGCAAATTTTATAGAGACCTTTTCAGAAATTTACGCGAAAAAAAATTTTTCAACATCCATATTGTCACCTAATAGTTATGATCCGTTTACATACAATTTTTCTCACAACTTTCACAAGCAATAAGTTATTGTTGAGCAGCCGGTTAGCCTGTTTACAGCATTATTACGGGCAATTTTTTACATCCAAGAGAATAATGTTCTAAAAACATAATCTTTATCAAGAAAAAGTTTACTACTTTCGATTTTTCACCACATTTAAAAAAAAAAACGCAGGAGAACAACTAATCCATAATATACCACCATTTTATATTTTTAAGATACATACATATTTACATACATGTGTGCTTTCATAAAAAAGCTCAGCAAAGATCAACAATGTCCACAAACAACGAAAATTCTTGGTATGTAAAATGTTGGTTAAAGCAAAAAGAAATGTGTTCAAAACAAGAAAAATGGCATACATCGACAGGGCAATACAAAGCACAACGAAAGTGAAGATAAAAATTGCCAATGCAGTTCTAAGCGCCAAAGCCAAGTGCGCTTAAGTTAGCGTTGTTATCCTTTTTTAAAATTGCGCGGTACTCTCTATACGCGCAAAACAATTTTGAATATTTGCCAAGTGCTCGATTTATTTGTCCTTCTCGCTTTTTTAACTCATATCTAAATTTCGGTTCTTCTGCTGGCAGTTTATTCTTTGTCAGCGCGCACACAAACCGTGGAGGCGCGCATGTATGTATGTTTATATGTATATACGTTGATATTTGTGTATGCCTGCATGATCTTTCTTGTAACTTCTTTTTTGGATTTCATAACGAGAGTTTAAGTGCGAATGATTTTGTACCAAGTGCATGCATTCTTGGCGAATAAACACCGCTTTAGTTCTATAAATGCCAACAGGGACGTGTTTCCCAAACAGTAATGGGCATATCTTTGTGCTTTTGTGTTTAAAGTGCCAGTTTGGGTACTAACTATTAGATGTGTAGGAGTTGCCAGATACTCACCTCACCTAAACACACCTCACCTCTACTTAAGTCACCTCACTTCAACTCCGCTTTATTAACCTTAGCTCACTTCACCTCAACTGTCATCAGTTCACTATATTTCTGAAAATCTCTTAAACCTAGAACTATCCCCAAAGGCTCAAAATAGTCCCAAAAGCCAAAAAAATCACGAAATAGCTCCCAGAGTCACGAAGGAATCCCGAAAATCACGACATAGATTCGCGAATCATGAAAATGTTCCAAAAATCTCAAAGTAGTCCCTAAAATTACGAAATATCTAAAAAAAAGTCTTGAAAATCTCTACATAGTTCCGAAACTGAGGAAATAGTCCAGAAAATTACGAAAATGTACCGAAATAGTCGCGAGGATTCCGACACAGTCTTGCAAACAGTCATATAATTTCGAGAATACCGGAGAGACCTAGAAAATCACGCAATAGTTACGAGAATACCGAGAGTGGCAGCGAAATCGAAAGTAGAACGCTTGGACCTACCCAATTTCTTCTTAGAATTTCGGCAGTTCTACAGCTCAATGCTTTGATTAGTCGGCATTACTTCTATACCAATTTAATATGCACTGGGCACAAAAGTTGTATTTCACCCACCTATAGGCTCGTTCCTGCTCGTTTATTAATATGTTTTTTTTTTTTGCAATGCTGCTTTGTTGCTGCACTTGTTATCCTTAACATTTTTCAACATTTCTTATTGCGCCTTTGTTGCCAATATTTCAATGTTATTCACATGCATTTGCAAGCGCCACCATCGCCATTGCTCTGGGCTATAAAGCAGATGTATATGTGTATCGAAAGCATGCAATTAGGGTACAACACAACAATAAGGGAATGCTCAACCCCAGCAAAAATTTGAATACGGGTATGTATGTATGTATGTAAGCATACCAGCATGTAAATGCATGCCCTTACATTACGACGTTTACAAGCATAAATACGTATATAAATACAGGGTGACCAATGAATATTGCTACATTAAGAAACTCATCTAACCTGTTGGCTAATTCATTTAATTTATTTTTTATTTATTCTTTTTCTAAAGAACACATTTTTACTCGATTTTTTTATTGGTTTGAAAACTAAGTAATTGAATTTGAATGGCGAAATTTCGCAATTTTCGTTCGAATGGATTGCTTTAAATCGTTCAAATTGGTGGGAGCCCTTGATGCCAACGGACTGTGAAGTCTCTTGAATTTTGCTTATTGGGGAATTTCCGCCGCAATTCTGTGTACACACACAGAGCTGAAAAGATTTCACGTTCGTAGTAGTTCCAAGAACGAAAATTTAACTCAACGCCTTTAAGTAGCGGTCCCCATTGACCACAAAGTAGGGATCATACGATTTGTACAGGTTTGTACATTGTGGCAGTCACCATGAATGAGTTCAGGTCAATAAAAAACCTCCACTCTGTGATTGTAAAAATGTACAAATAGTTTGATCCCGGCTTAACAATTAGACCGACTTCTTCGACGAAGTAAGGTCCGACAATGACTGCACACCACACCTTCACGCGAAGTGGACGTAATTCTCTCTCATGGATCTGTATCTGTGGATTCGAGCAGTGCCAGGTACCACTTCATTGGTAAACTTTTTAGCTATAATATACTTGCTACCATTTTTACCGACAATGGGTTAAAATCTACCAATATTTTCCGTAAAGAAAGCAAAGAGATTTAAATACATATTTTTCCATCGAAAAATTCGTTGAATAAACCTGAAAATTCATATATGTAAGAGGTTTGAGACTCACTGAACCCGAATCTGAGGTCCGTTAACCTCCATAATGTCAGGCTCGAGGTCATTTGAGGGTCAAAAATGACAAAAACTTTATTCAATAAAAAAAAATTGATTTGTTGTCGCTTAATCTGAATATGGGGGTCCCATGATTCCTCAAGGTCATCCCAAGGTTAAATTCAGAAGAATTATATTGAGTTTTCAGGTTTATTCAATGAATTTTTCCCTACTTTACCTTCAACTGACCACGAACTTGACGCAATGGACGCTAGCGGACCTCGGATTCGCATTCAGCGTGTATATAGGTTTGTTAAATATGCAAAAACTTTTTTTTTTAAACTTGTGTATGTAATTGTTTGAGCTTCCCTCCTTTTGCATTAATACAGGGCCCGAATCAGGGCATCCGTTATTGAATTACATACATTTTATGCGAAATTTCGTTTTGGTCATTCGTTAGGAGTTAGCTTTTTCGATTCAAATTGAATAAAAGAAAAAACAGCTGCCATTTTATTTCATTCGATTCGAAACGAGTTTCATTCGATAACGGATGCCGTGGTTCGGGCCCAGTTTTATGTATAGGTTTTTTGTTGAATACTTTATTTACGTGAAATAAATTTTTGTTGTTTTATATAAAAATACAATTCTTCCCAAGGCGAATTCATATTAGGGGATAGCAGGAGGAGTAAGGCCAAAAATAAACTTAAAAATTTTACGCACAACGCCCGTAAGAATAACAGAATCACTTTGACATTAAAAACCACCGAGTCGAAAATCCATCATCTCTTGTAACACAATCTCTTATGAATTCGCAATGTTTTATCCTAATAAGTAAAAACTATCTAATATTGTTCCTGTTCTACCAACTTCTACCACTTTTTGTAAGTAAAATCTACCAATTTTTTCGAAATCCGTGCACTGGATTCGAGTCATTCTATATTCAACAATTTTGTTCGGTTACATTGCTGCTTAGATCACAATGGGCCTTATCAGGCATAAAACTGCAGTTCACTATGTTTTCGCCAACTTCCGCCATTTGAGTGAACTTCTGGCAATTTTTCAAGCGATTTCGCAAGTCTGCTGCGTTCAGTAGGCTTTTCAATTGAATTTCATATAGGAACAACTTTAATCTTTATGTATAATGGTCTGCGACGACCCCCATGTATGGGGGTGCTTAATGGTTTGACAAACCACTTGATGGAAATTTGGAACAAAAATCACAATTTTTTGATTTTCTGGTCGCCTTATTGAAGTTTGATCAAACCGCCTCATTTGCATTGAAATTTTCACCGAGTGAGGACGTAGTAGAGAAATATGGAAGAAAACCAAACTTTTTTTCCATTGCAAACCAGAAGAGAACTAAAACCCTCTGCTTGAACGAGTCACGCTTGTGTGGTGTTTTTCTCTCTATACTCAGAAATAAAGTGATTAGTATTAAACCATTACGTTTTTATTCGATAGCACTTTGCATCAGCCACCCTGTACATCAATGATGGGCAAAACGCTACTCGCGAGTAGCGTCTGCGTCGCAGCGCTTATGCTTGAAATACAATACCGGCGAACGGCAAACTTCGCAGATTTGGGCGATGCTGTCGTTCACCGTTCGCCCAGCTATTTCGCCTACTTAAACATAATTAGAGCGGTAGCGAAAACAGCTGATCCCATTTGGTCGCCTTTATAATTTGGGTGACCATATTTAGAAAAAACTAAACCATATTTAGAAATGAGGAAATGATAACAAATATAAATATAAAACAAAGAAAGATTATTGTAAATAATTTGTTTCAAGCCAGATTTAAGGAATCCACAACTATATTTTTCAAACAACAAAAAAAATCGTGTTTTGGTTGTTTTCTTTTAAAACTTTGAAAGCAAAAAACAAATACGGCCACCTTTGGCACGCACAGCTGTCATCGCCCAGCAGGGCGATAGAAATAAATCTATCGCTATGAAACGCCGCCAAGCGAACTTCGAATTTCGCTTTGGCTGTGTTCAATTTCATATGCTTGCGGGTGCTCTAATTTTGACAGCGCGAATTTCGCTATGGTGAGTTCGCCGTTCGCCGGCATTGTATTTCAGCTATTATACGTATACAGAAACGACGCAGCGAATTTCAATTCAGTCTGCTTTCAGTTTTCATGAGAGTGACACCACGCTTCGCCGTTGAATATTTTTATTCGTAATTTCAGCGCGTTGTTGCCACCTATATATGTAACAATGCCCAAAATGGCTGCGTATGAGTGCCAATTACAATTTTCGGTTTTAAGAAAAGCCAATAATGCCCAATGCTTGTTATGTGGTAATACGACTACTTGGAATCGTTCTTTTAATATAAGGCGACATTATTTGTCATGGTAAAAAAGTCAAACTGCCGAACTGTGTAAACCAATTTAAAGTTTTTTGTAATGGGTTTTATGTATATATGTATGTACGATACGGCAATTTAATATATTTATTATACTTTATTGAATACTGAGTTTTTTACAAAGTTTAGAAATTTTAAATTCGTGAATTTTGTTGTTGAATAAACTATCATTTTTTAAAACATTAGTTTAATGAAATTAAATTAAAAAACTTTTCATGCACGTACATATGTACTTATAAAAATTAATTTCATAATTCATTATTTGAAATTATTTCTTCATTATTTTTTTATTATATTTTATTATTTTCGTTTCATGTTCATAATACAAATTAAATATAAATTTGTAAGAGCGTTTTCTAACACGCGCAAAAAACGACGCACTTTTGTACAATATAGAAAAGTGGCAACTGTTACTCAGCGCGATTCACGAATACCATGACAAAATGAGACTGTATTGGTGTGCCCATCTATGCTGTACATACAGACATACATGCATACAAATATGTTGCTATATATGTATATGAACACAGTGGCGGATTGATCCTAAGGCCCAATAGGCTCGGACCTAGGGCGGCCAGATATTAGGGGCTGCACTGATGGTAACAAGACACGCACGACGAAAAGTAACTGCGTGTAAACTCAATATAGCACATGGTTGCGAAACCACCCAAGTCTAAGGAACTTCGTGCACAATGCAGTATAAAAATTGAGAACTGGAACGGCTAGGAGCTGAAGGTCTTGAATCCATTTACGCAAACGTGGATATCGCCCTTCGTATATGTGTGTGTACTCCCGCCAGCAACAGCTAGGATTTCAGTAAAAGCATAGACAGACGGCAACGTTGATCCGCATTAACGGCGCAGTTGATCTGATAAAAATGGTACCATGACAGACGGCAGTAATGTAGATTAACGAGCGGCGAGGTGATGGGCTCGAGTGCCACGGCAAGTTGAATTTTCAATTCATTTTTGTAAATTCATTCAAATATTACTAGTATATTTATTTTTTTAATGTAATTGCACTGTGGAACACAAACAAAAAACCTAGAGCGCGCATATATCAGGTTTGATAGCTGTGGGCCATACGAGCAATGTCTCATACTCAGATATAGAAGGTCAATTCGTCTTCTCAAGGAAACGAGTTTTCAGGATCCAAAAATCTCAGTATAGCAGCCAAATTTTTCATCCCCAAATTTTAAAAGTCTATCGTTTTTTTTGGCCTACATTTGTTTAAAATAGCATACGAAGCAAATATAGACCAAAAAACGATGAATACTCAAAATTTGGGAAAAAAAGTTTGGCCGTTATACTCAGGTTTTTGGATCATGAAATTTTTTTTCACGAATTAATCTAGTAAAACTGAGTATGAGGCATTTTTTGTATGACCAACAGATATCAAATCTGATATATGGGCACTCTAGGTTTTTTTAAAGTTCACTTTTGTTCCACAGTGTTAAGAAAATTAAACAAAAATATTAATTATCTAATAATAAAATAAATAATAAGAAATAAAATTAAACAAAATGAAATGCATAAAACAAAAATCGTATCCAGGATCGAACTGCAGACATGACTGCAGACCAAAACAGTCAAAAGCAACCCTATATGTAGTCTGTTATAAGCAAGAGCGAAAATATTTCCTGCGCTGGGCATGTCTGCTTTAAATCGACAAGTGTTTGAAGTAAGCAATAAAGGGATGGGTGTTATTTTATCGATAATATATTTCGATAAAAGTCGACAAAAAAGTAAATTCAAATGTAGTATCTAAATAATGGGAACTAAGAGAGGGGCCGCTAGTACTTTAAGGCCTAGGGCGGGCAAGACTGCAAATCCGCCACTGTATTCACATGCATCAAGCTAACACGCCACAATTTCGATGCAGCCCGCTGGCAAAAGCCCACAAATGTAAATAGTTTTCATGGCTATTATGCTGTGGCGCTTACGTTGGAGCATTATTTCACTCTCGCTGCACACTTTTTACAGCCCTCCTCCCGCACTTCATGTCCTTCGACTGCGTTACTAGCGCGCAATTGAATTCAAATTGCAACTGCCTCTATCAGCCCGGTGGCAGACAGCCGACTTTGTTCGGCCTTTTGCATTTATTTTATTTTGTTTTTTTTCTTTTTCTTTTCATTTCTTTCGTCATTATTGTTCTTTTCCTACCTCGTGCTGTTGTGTTGCTTAAGCTGCTGCGGCTTTACCGGTAACAAATAATAATGCCACATGCCACAAAGGTAATCACGTGTTTAGCTGTTGTACAAAGTACAATATACAAAATGCAACTCTGTAGGCATGAATGATGTCTCGCTTGCGCTCGGCTACCTACAAAATCATTTTCGTATTCAAATTTTCCAGCCCTGGTGAAATGCAAGTTAATGCAACTTCAGGTGGAAAATTTGAAAGCAAGCACAGCACATTTATCTTTGAACTGGCAGCGTAAATGCCTGAGCGCTAGGGCGTTTGGAGGCTTTCATCACGAACAAAACAAAATTCATTTCAGTTGACTTGAATAAATTGTAATATAAAATTCATTTCCGCTGTGACTTTTGCTGCTGTTGCTGGCAACTCTTACTTAGTGCACAAAATAAAAACCAAAAAACAAAAAATTTAAAAAAAAATTTAAAAAGTTTGTCCGATAATCTTCTTTGTTGATTTGCCTATTCGCCGCTGGATATGTACATATGTATGTAGGGGCATTTCATTGCTGCCCGCCCGCTGTGTTGCTAACGAAAAGTTCAACAACAACAAAATTGAGAATCTGTTCGCTTACTAATGCCTTTGACTTTTGGCCCATTTTCAACTTCTTCTCGGCCATTGCTGCAAGCGTCAACACAAACGCTCATCTCCTATTTCATTTCCTCCTCTGTCATTTGGCACACACAAACCACTCAAACATGCATGCACATTCTCTACGTACCTACACAAATCAGCCGACGCAGAAGCAACATAATTTTTCTTCCGCCTGCTTCCGCTGGCCTGCTAAACTCATTCATAAATTTTATGTTGGTCAGTGGACACAACTTTCAAGTGGGTTCCCCATGCTCCTCGACTTGATGAGGCACTCTTTTGCTTGGCTGCATAGCCTTTTCACCTTCTTGCAATGCTTAGCATGCCTTTGCGCCCTCGCATAACTACCTTCCCTTCAATAACTTTTCACAAACATTTTGTTAAATTGAATTATGCGCCAGCAACAGCTTCCTTTGTAGCAAAAGTGAGCTTACAAAAGCCACTCATATTTGGTAGGTAGAAATATCTGTACCCTCCCATACATACACAAACACACACGTACCTATATTACCATTGAGCCGCATCGTTTATCTGCATGCATATCAAAGTGTATGTGTGTGTGTGTGTATGTGCTTATGTGTACATAATTTCAATTTATTATACTCTTCTCTGCACTTTATGCAATTTTCTACTTTTGCTGCTGTACTTCCTCTTCCCACATACTTACTCAGCTATCCACATTTAGGTACTACATATAAGTATTATTCAACATAACCACTTGAATCTGTTAGTCTATTCGGTTTTCATAAAATAACATGCACACATACATTTACATTTAGACATAGTATGTACATATTCACAGCTGGTTATCCACCAATTCAGCTTAAGTTCGCTTTAGTCCTTGTAAGTACTTACATACATGACGAGCACCGCTTGACTTCCATGTCATCTAATGCCTGTAATAATTTTTGATCTCAAAACTTCAAAGCAGTTTGTTAGGCCACAAGATTATTGGACGTATGGGTGGATTATCTGCATTCATTGGTGTGCAGCTTAGCAAAGCAAATAAACTCGAAAGACAAAGTGCACTTTTGAAAAAAAAATAAATAAAAAATTTTCAGAAATTTATGTTGGTAATGATACGTGTACCTCGCGATGGAAGAGAATGTGGTAATCGAGTATTAAGTTTGAGATGTTTATGTGCGTTATACGCCTTTTGCTCAATATAAATAGTGTCACTCGAAAATTTTTTAGTTGTGATTAGGTTAGGTTAAGTTAGGAGGGCGTGTACGAAGTGTTCCAAACATTCACTCGGAGACATATGTAGTTGTAAATTATGAGTGCCCTCTTTGAGGGAGTGTCTGTAGGAGACGCTCTCTCCTAACCGAGATTCCTATTCAGAGCGAAATTAGGGTAGATCCTCATCGCGGTAGCTTCAGTGGAGTCTACTTGTTGGTATTCGCCATCGTTATTGGTGCAATAGCACATAACCCATAAAAGCATAAACATACGGCAGTGTTGATCCGGATGAACTCGGGAATTAACTGCAGTTGATCCGGATTAAGTCCGCGTTAATCCGGATCAACGCTGCCGTCTGTTTAAGCTTTAAGGGAGCTTACTGGAAATTTATTAAGCTTCAGAAGGTATTTTGTATTTTTCTTACTAAGCCGCGGCTATAACCAGCGTTGCCAGAACGACGTCCTTAACGTCATTTGGACGTTTTTTGTATCCTGTTGACGTTTGGACGTTTTTTGTGTAAAAAATTACGTTTTTTAACTTCGCAGTAATTTATAGCGTACTATTTGTTACTAAATCTTGTAAGTAGAACTGATTTTGAATTATTTTCTTAATAAATCTTTACAATCACATTTTCCCGCTTTTTATAGTCGAAACTGTATGGTGGAAAGTGTGTTCTAATAACTATTTGATACACAAAAAATGATCACGGCTGTATTTTTTGCTGATATATTACATACATATGTTCCATTTAGTTAAACAATATAAGAATAGTGTAGTATGTACCACAAAAACATATATTTTCTATAAAAACTCAACATAACTCAAACAATGTATTTGAGTTTGGTCGAAATTAAAAATCATGCTCGTACCTGACCGGTTGTCTGGAAATGGAAAGCATCTATATAAATTCGTTAGTTGCGGCATATTTTCATATATTTGTTAATTTACTTTCAATGTTATAAGCTTTCTGACATTTTTAAATTATGTTCACATAACTATTACTTTAGTAAGTTTTATTATATGGCGCTTGAGAAGTGCACACATTTTTACCGTGCCTTACTGCACCTTAAAAATACTTTTGTGTTGTTACTCCTTCTCAAAACTCATATGGCCTCATTCATCAGAAATAAAACAGATTTAAAAACTTTATGAAATGGAATTTTCAAACAAATTTTCTATTTATGAAGCATTCTTTATTTATGAATATGGGTGTTAGTTAATATATTTTTTAAGCTAGAAATTTGGAAAGTAGTTAAAGTATCGACTTTTTCCT